GTGAGCCGAGATCGCGCCATTGCACTCCAGCCTGGGTAACAAGAGCGAAACTCCGTCTCAAAAAAAAAAAAAAAAAAAAAAAAAAAAATTATAGGCAAAAAAAAAAGAAAAAAAAAAATAAAAATCCATCAAAAAAAAAAAAAAAAAAAACACTACTAATAAAATTCATAGTACATTATAACAAGGACCTAAAATCACCTTATACACACTTGTCAACACTTTTATTAATTAGAAAAGCCAAAATATCTGACAGTGTTCCCAACTCACTATTTAGGAAAGCCAAGAGAGACGACCATATACTTTCATCAAGGGAGTATTCTTTAACCCTCAATTCACGAGATCTCACAGTCAAACTAAATGACATTAAAATGATAGAAAGATACCAACTTCATTAGTCAATTAGATTAAAAGGCAATGAACACACATAACCATCCTCATTACTGAAATGTATATCTTGTCTGAAACCTCAGTGCACACTTTATCCCCACTTTAGACTATCTGAAATGTCAGTACACTTCCAATTGAGTGAAAGCTATAATAAGTTATTTGAACTTTTCACTTTGATATTTCAGAATACCAGTTCAAAAGGAAAGTTACTACTAATGGATTTTTTTAAAACTGCTGAAATTACTGAATGAAATATTAAAAAAAACTCTTTCATGGTGGTAATAAATGAGAATGCCTAGAGGCTTCTAATAGGCAACAAGCAGAACCTATATTTCACAAGAAATATGATTCTGGCAGTGAGCCACACAGAAGTCAGCCTTATCCTGTATGAAAATGAATTCGGGTTTTAAAAATATCCCAATCATATTTCAGCTAACACTTGGGCTCTGCAGTGGGTAAAATATCCTGAAAGACAAATAGTTTACTATAGTTAGCATTAATTAAAAAGTCAGGGCTTGTAATACCAGACCTCCGAACAGCTGACCTTGTTTTCCTCCCAGGCATTATATAGAAAACGCAGGTGGATGAGGCCACAAACAATGGTGCCTGCTTAACCATTTCATAGAGCAACCAGCCAGGCTTTCCTCGGTTACAGATTTCACACGCAAGCTAGTTATCTGGACTTTTTATTTGTTACCACCACAGTTTTTAGATGAATGTGTCATCATTAACCAGTGACAATAAACAATGCGATTCACAATTTAGAGGAAGATTTTTTTGGTAAAGATATTATGCAGTACTTTGGTATCCCACAGTAAATTACAATTGCTGATTACCATGGCTTAACATTTACTTACGCTACTTTTGGGAAACATTAAAGAATACTGGGTACTAAGAGATTGATTAGACTTATGTGGTAATGCACAAAACTCCCAACTGGTGTTATTCCAATTAGGAAACAGTATTAGAATGAGCTTTGGAAGTCTGAGAATTAAAGTGACTTTTAAAAAAAAAAAACCAGCATAACTCTAAACATTCATCCAAATGTTTGCTGTTGCCATTAAGGTAGAAATTACATATTTATTCTAACCTGTACTACCTGTGCTCACAATAGCTTTTCATCAACTCTGAATATCTTCCCTGGTCACGCTATGCTGATCTTTTCAGGCTGGGTATAGCTTTGGAAATCACTTCCAATCATTCAGAGCTCAGCCTGGTATATAAGTTGCATTTTAAATCAAAAACTGGGTATCACTATCAAACATGTTTAATGACCTATTTATTGGCTCAATGCCCCAAAAGTGGGATCCCTAAAACATTAAGGGCATTAGTTCATTACTGGAAATATATAACCTACAAAGTGACTTGTTTGAAAAGATCATGTATTTGAGATATATGCTTTTGTAAATCTAAAAAGAAACCCTGTACTTCATAGGCAAACTTCCTATAAAACCTACCCAATTCTTATTCAGACTTGTGGGGTGTATGGTTGATGGCTTTTCTTTACTGCAAATATCAAATAATAGCTAAGGTAGTTTGCAGGTCACATGCCTCTTTCTAATAGGCACTGTTTCCCCTCCATCTTCTAAACATTACTAGAATACATTTCAATCATACAGTTTTCAAATTAAGAGAAAATAACTTCCCATTAGTGACCAATTGGGCTACATGGTCTACTTAAACTAATTTAAACACTATTTGACTCATTGTCAAACAAATGTAAACACTATTCATACTCCCATGAATGTGACACTGGAAGATGACAAGAAACACACTTTAAACTTTATTCCTGACCCTTATTCATGAGTCTGTCCTGCTATACATTAGGTGAAACCACATGAAACTGACATTTCTGTCAGTCACAAGTGGTTAAATACCAGCAACTTCATGGGGAACAAATTAATAATATCACCCTTAGACAAAGAAGCTTGAACACCTGCTAACAGCACTGACAAGATAGAGACTGTTATTTACATGCCCATCCTCTAGCAACGACTTGTATTAATACCAAGTCTGATAGTTTATAAAAACCTTAATATATATACACATACTGTTGAACTCAGCAACCCTGTGAATTAGGCACATCAAGTACCTTGATCTCCACTTTACAGATGAGAAAATAAGGCTCAAATGTTAAGTCACTTGGTCAATTGTTCAAAGATGTGAAGTGACTTATTCAAAGGTCCAAAAGTAATGGAGCAAGAAATCTAACCCTTTGATTCCAGACCTTTCCTGCAAACAACTCCTTCAAAAGGATAAAAAAAATCTCTAAGTACTAGTGCATACACTCTCACTGCTTAAATGTGGACAGATAGCATAAATGCCTGTGTGATAAGTGTCTAAATTGACATATTAAGTGCTTTCAAAAATGCGGGTGAGTACTTAAGTACATTCTTAGAATTTATTTGCTCACTTCTACAACTTCTGCCTTCCTCCAGGATTTCATCGTTATGGTCCACAGGCCTGCCTCTCCCTTCTTCCCAAAGGTCGCAAACCTGGCTAACTGTACAATGCATCCATTGGGGAACAAAATATCACACTACAGATCCAACATAGGTCTTATACCATCATTCATGGTTACTAGCCTATTTTACTTTTTTGTAAACAAAGTCTAGGGTATGGTTCTCAATGGTATCCATTAATTGAATGAATGGTCCTTAAATTGATTTTGATAATGACTCCACTTAAAGCTAAAAAGAAAAATCAACCACTCCAATCGTCATGATTGATTGATGAAGAAAAGACTTTGTGTATTAAGTTCTAAACCAGGCAATTCTACCCATTAGATTATTCAGACTAAGAGATCAATGGTAAAATGTTGTAAGACTTCCTTATCAACCACCCACCCCCTACTGGCCCACCATGTAATGAAATCTTTCTTGTTTACTAATTAAAAATGATACATATGTTACCAGTGCTATCTGTAGCTACAGAGACTGATAACCCCTTCTTCCTACTGTTTCCTACTGTGAGGTATCAATTTGCAGGGATCAAATCTCACTTGTGAGCAAGAACACATTTCTGTGACTATGGTAGCCTTGGGCAGAGCCAAACCCCTCATCACCCACACATACACACATTTTTGCCTTTGAAGTAGTTTTTAAATATTTTAAATACTTACTCACACAGCAGAACACCGTTTTCTAGAGAGGCTCGAAAATCTTTTGTTTCAAAATTCTTCTCTGTTACTGCCTGAAAGATAGATTTGGGTGTTAATTTTCTCTTAAGCAGGGATAACACGCAAGTCAAATTCAGCATTAGATTAATTAATATGCATTTAATGTTATACTTGAAGGATTAGACTGTTAGATCCTATAATCTGTTCGTTAAAGGGCTATGTACTGTTTGTTTTATGTTACAAAGAGAGACGTTAACCATTTTAGTATGCCAAGTATATACAGGAAAAAAATACAATGAGGGTTTTTGGTAATATAATCATTTTATTGGATGATACACAAAAGGTAAGAGCTCAACTAAATTTCCAACATATTTTATATATATTTTTTAAACTATGGATGATCTATTCTACTAAGAGTGAATAAAAACAGTTTAAGATATAAATTCAAAATACCAACTACACTGAATACCCATATCATTAATTTCAATTCCATCTCTATATTCCTCAAGTTTCATTACAAAGCTAAATAACAGATGGCACAACGCTTTTTAAACTTATTTATGAAATAGCCCTAATAGATGCACAGAGACACCCTAGGGAGAAGACTACTAAATCCTGGCACAGAGAGAGAGGTGAAATGGTGAATAAACAGGCAATTCCCAACTTAAGAAATTACATAGTTTTAGTGACATCTTATAATAAAATTAACTTCAGATGGATTAGAGACTTAAACATAAGACCTAACACCATAAAAACCGCAAAACCTAGGCAAAACCATTCAGGACATAGACATAGGCAAGGACTTCATGTCTAAAACACCAAAAGCATTGGCAACAAAAGCCAAAATAGAGAAATGGGATCTAATTAAACTCCAGAGCTTCTGCACAGCAAAGGAAACCACCATTAGTGTGAACCGGCAACCTACAGAATGGGAAACAATTTTTTGCAATCTATCCATCTGACAAAGGACTTATATCCAAAATCTACAAAGAACAAAAACAGATTTACAAGAAAACAAACAAACAAACAAACCTATTCAAAAGTGGGCAAAGGATATGAACAGACACTTCTCAAAAGAAGACATACATGAGGCCAACAAGCATATGAAAAAATGCACGTCATCACTGGTCATTAGAGAAATGCAAATCTAAACTACATTGAGATACCATCTCACACCAGTTAGAATGGCAATCATTAAAAAATCTGGAGACAACAGATGCTGGAGAGGATGTGGAGAAATAGGAACACTCTTACACAGTTGGTGGGAGTGTAAATTAGTTCGGCCATTGTGGAAGACAGTGTGACGATTCCTCAAGGACCTAGAAACAGAAATTCCATTTGACCCAGCAATCCTCCTACTGGGTATATATCCAAAGGATTATAAATCATTCTATTATAAGGACACATGCACACATATGTTCACTGCGGCACTGTTTACAATAGCAAAGACCTGGAACCAACCCAAATGCCCATGGATGATGGACTGGACAGGGAAAATGTGGCACATATACACCATGGAATACTATGCAGCCATCAAAAATGATGAGTTTGTGTCCTTTGTAGGGTCATGGATGAACCTGGAAACCATCATTCTCAGCAAACTGATACAAGAACAGAGAATCAAGCACCGCATGTTCTCACTCACAGATGAGTGATGAACAATCAGAACACATGGACACAGGGAGGGGAGGATCACACACTGAGGTCTGTGGGCAGGGACTAGAGGAGGGATGGTGGGGAGTAGGGAGTTGGGGAGGGATAACATGGGAAGAAATGCTAGATATAGGTGATAGGGATTGAGGCAGCAAACCACATTGCCATATATGTACCTATGCAACAATTCTGCATGTTCTTTACATGTACCCCAGAACCTAAAATGCAATAAAATATATATTTAAAAAAAAAAAGATCAAGGAAAGAGGCTGATTCCCCACAGTGGGTTCTTCCTCTCGAGGATTGCCTCATGTTTGGTCCTGCCAATGTTCATTGCATTTCAATACCTTCAAACAGTTTATTGTGTATGTTTTCCAGCTTTTATTGTTTTTACCAGGAGGTTAGTCTAATACTACTGACTCTGTTATGGTTAGAAATGGTGTTCTCTCCCCCTTCCCCAAACCTCCCTAACATTTCTCTTTATAGATGTTTATCAACAGTCACAGTCATTATTTGCCTCCTTGTGGGGCACTTTAACTGCATCTTCACACAGAGAGCAAAGATGGGATGCTTTCCTTTCAAATGACTTCTGATTTTTTTAAAAAACTATTTAAGGAACCTCTCAAAAAACACATAGCCACAATTTGCATCGCAAGAATCACTAATATCTCTATGTTCAGTGGGTAATACTATATTCTCCAGCCATGGCTTACTAGGATGTTCCAGACTCTCCTTTCTGAGAACACCAGAACAGCAGGCTAGGCATGGTAGCTTATGCCTGTAATCCCAGTGCTTTGGGAGGCCAAGGTGGATGGATCTCTTGAGGCTGGGATTTCAAGACCTGCCTGGTTAACATGGTAAAATCCCATATCTACTAAAAATACAAAAATTAGCCTGGCATGGTGGCATGCGTCTGTAATCCCAGCTACTCCAGAAGTTGAAGCAGGAGAATCTCTTGAACCCAGGAGGTGGAGGTTACAGTGAACCAAGATCACGCCACTGCTCTCCAGCCTGGCTGACAGAGCAAGATTTCCACGGGTAGAAGAGGGTAGCTTACCTGTGCTTCACCCATTAAGAGGAGCCCAAAGAGGAATGAAAAATCTGAGGACTAGATTTCCATTGATCTTAACATAGAGGTAACAGCAGTATTTATAGCAGCTCTATCTACTGTGTGTACACTACCTGTCTATCAGGTGTGAGGTGAAGTATCTTAGACCCCATGGCTCCAATGGAGGGCCCCATGTCAGCCTCATCTATGCCACCAGGGAGCTGGTTAAAAATGCACAGTCTGGCCAGGTGCAGTCGCTCACACCTGTAATCCCAGCATTTTGGGAGGCTGAAGCAAATGGATCACTTGAGGTCAGGAGTTTGAGACCAACCTGGCCAATGTGGTAAAACCCTGTTTCTACTAAAAATATAAAAACTAGCTGAGTGTGGTGGCACACGCCTGTAATCCCAGCTCCTCAGGAGGCTGAGGCAGGAGAATTGCTTGAACCCGGGAAGTGGGGTTGCAGTGAGCCAAGATCACACCACTGCACTCCAGCCAGGGCAACAGAGTAAGACTTCGGGTGTTGAACAGTGAGAACACGTGGACTCAGGGAGAGGAGCATCACACACCGGGGGCAGCTGGAGGGGGTAGGGGAGAGAGTGTGGGGAGTGGGGAGGGATAACATGGAGAGAAATGCCAGATATACTATGCATCTGAAGTGAAAGAAAGAAAGAGAAAAAGAAAGGAAGGAAGGAAGGAAGGAAGGAAGGAAGGAAGGAAGGAAGGAAGGAAGGAAGGAAGACAGAGAGAGAGAAAGAAAGAGAAAGAAAGAAAGAAAGAAAGAAAGAAAGAAAGAAAGAAAGAAAGAAAGAAAGAAAGAAGACAGAAAGAAAAAGAAAAGAAAAAAAGAAAGGAAAAGGAAAGAAAAGAACGAAAGAGAGAGAGAAAGAAAGAAAGAGAGGAAAGAAAGAAAGAAAGAAAGAAAGAAAGAAAGAAAGAAAGAAAGAAGGAAGGAAGGAAGGAAGGAAGAAAAGGAAAGAAAGAGGAAAGAAGGAAGGAAGGAAGGGAGGAAGGGAGGAAAGGAGGGAGGAGAAAAGAAAAGAAGAGAAGTACAAAGTCTAAGGGCCCACCCCAGACCTACTGAGTCAGGATCTGCTTTCTAGCCAGATCACTAGGTGATTCACGGGCAAACTAAAGTGTGAATGTTGGTCTGGACTCTGTTTCATGACCCCTCACTTAAACAGTGGTCTAGGCTCCTCATTTTCATCCTCATAACAAGCCTATAGGAGAGACATTGTTGTCATCTCACTCTAACAGGTGTGAAAACTGCCTCTTATGTTTCTCTCCTTCTCAAACCTTTCATCTCCGTGTGGCTGGCAGCACTGGAGCCAGATCCCGGACCCAGGTCTCTCCGACACCCGAGGTGCCACACACAGGAAGTGTGGCATTACGTTGCCTGCTGGCTCCTTCTACTCTCAGTGTCTGGCTGAAGTCCCACATAACAATCCATTGTCATTCAGGTCTTTTTTCAAATCATTAAAAGTTTCCTGCCCTCTAAAAGAAAAAAAAAGAAATTACATAGGAAGAGGCACTGCAGTTACCACCACAAATAATGCTGGTGAAACCTTTAGAAAAATATCTAGATTCTCTCTCTAAAGGGGAAGGTGGTTGGGGTAGAAAAGGGGATTCCACAGCGGAAACAGTAGCAGAGAAAATGAAGTCATAGTGGGAAAAAACTGCTCCAAGAACAACCCCCGAGTCCCGGCTCGGGGGGAGGACAGGGACCAACAGCAGTGACAGCAGCTGTCCTGGAGATGTAGCTGCCACCTAAGAGCAGGAGTAGTCCTTGCTTCACCTGCCACTTCAGAAAGAAATACATTTCTGGAATCCTGAACTGGGAAGTCCCTAATCTTAATCTTAAATCCCAAGTGGGCTCCAGGGCTCAATGAAGGGACTGTCACCACCACCCCCGCAAGCTGTCCTCACTGCTGCCAGCTTCACAGTCCACCTAGAATCCCTGAGTGTTCTCATTCTGCAACACTGCTGCAGCTAGGCATGATAGCTGTTAACTGACAAAATAATGGCTGTGTTTCTCACAAGCTGGTCTACACATCTGGACAGGAGCCTGGGCCAGGAGGTAACATGCTGAAACTCAGGAGAATTAGATTCTTCCTATACTTGGCATTAAACTACAGAAGGGCTGCACTGCAGCTTTACTTAAACAAAGCCTGGGTGTCTGTTACAGCCACTACCTGAATACTGGGTAGGAATTTACCAAAAGCACTTTTTTTTAAAGGCAGGCAGCTCTTCCCTCAGGGAGTCCACAGCCTCATATATAAAACATAATGTTTAAAGCACAGTAAAACATACCCAAAGAGAATGGCATATTCTTCTGAAAATAACTCTGAGAGGACCCTGGATTATCCCAAACAA